ATATAACCTATTCTAAATTTCAATTACCATATATACTAGAGTATAAGACGAGTTTTTTGACACATTTTTTGTGCTTAAAAAGACCCACTCGTCTTATACTAAGTGTCTTACATTGCCATAATACAGACCAGGACTGCCAGGCTCATTACAAGCCCGGCGGTCCTGTTGGGAGCAAGCTGTTACTTACCTTTACAGCAGCTCCATTCAGCTCCAGTGTAAGTCTCGCGAGAGCCGCGGCAGTCAGAGCGTTGCCACAGATTACCATAGCAACGCTCCACACCGCACGCAGACCGCAAGATTTACACTGGAGCTGAACGGCACAGAGGAGAAGGGAGATGAACGGAGCTGCTGTAAAGGTAAGTAACAGCTTGCTCCCAGCCCCCCTTCTGCACAGCCCATCCACTGGACCACCAGGGAATAATATCAATATCAACCATGTATCAAGCAGGGAGGGGGGACGAAAAAATTAAATAAAAATTTAAATAATATTATAATAAAATAAAAATTAAATAATATTAAAATAAAAATAAAATGTAATATTAAAATAATAATAATAAGAAAAAAATAATAAAAATGCCCTCCCCCCACCAAGGTTACACACTCTGCATCACATACACACACACACTCTGCATCACATACACTGCATTCATACAAACACACACTCTGCATTCATTATATACACACACTGTAAATAAATATTCAATTAATATAAGTTATTTCCGTTTGCAGGGCCGGTGCAAGGATTTTTGCCGTCCTAGGCAAAAGTAAAGTTTGCCGCCCCCCCATGTGACATCACATATGTTCTGCCATGTTAACTAACGCCAGTGCTGCAGTGCCGCCGTGTTTACATTAAAAGGCCTGCAGGGACAGGCTGTAGACACCAGAACCACTACATTAAGCTGCAGTGGTTCTGGGGACTATAGTGTTTCTTTAATGTGAGGTAAATTAGAGATTAGTGCCACAAATAATATACTAGATTGCATACTTACAACCAGATGAGGATGATGATGGGCTCTAGCTGCAGTCTGGCTCCACTGGTCTGGTGTTGAACAGGCTCTCTGGAGGCTGTTTGTAACTGTGGTCACAAAAATCAATGTTCTGGGAGAACGGGAAGCAGCTCCATTTTTTGGGCCCTTTACACAGCTCAAGGTCTGGGTCCCAGGGTCCACCTTCATGTTCCACCAATGAGTTTGTTCACAGGGGGTGGGGTGTGTAGGGGATGTCCTGATATGTGTGCAAGGAATGCATTGTGTGAATCTGTGTTTGTATGTGTAAGGGCTGCAAGCAGGGGCGTATTAGCCGCGAGGCAAACAAGGCATTTGCCTTGGGCGGCATTTTTCAGGGGGCGGCAAAACGCCGCCCCCCAAATGCCCAGGGCAAATGCCTAGTTAGCCTTGCGGCTAACAGACATCCCGAGCGGGCGGGCGGCGCTGGCAGGCGGGCGAGGGAGCACTTCCTCTGAGCTGTCTGCTCAGCTCCCTCGCGCACCGCAGAGTGAGGCTGGGAGCCGGAAGATGACGTCATCTTCCGGTTCCCAGCCTCACTCTGCAGCCGGCGCGCGAGGGAGCTGAGCAGTCAGCTCATAGGAAGTGCTCCCTCGCCAGCCGCCCGCCTGCCAGCGCTGCCCAGCCCGACCTGCAGCCACTGGACCACCAGGGAGAGAGAGACCTCCCCCCCCCAGCACTCCCAAAGGTAAGGAGGTTGGGGGGGGGGATTTAAATTTTAAAAAAAGTTAATGTGTGTGTGTGTGTGTGACTGTGTGTGTGTTTGTGTCTGTGTGTGTTTGTGTCTGACTGTGTGTGTGTATGTGTCTGACTGTGTGTATCTGTGTATGTGTCTGACTGTGTGTGTGTATGTGTCTGACTGTGTGTATGTGTGTATGTGTCTGACTGTGTGTGTGTATGTGTCTGACTGTGTGTGTGTGTGTGTGTGTGTGACTGTGTGTGTGTGTGTGTGTGTGTGTGTGTGTGTGTGTGTGTGTGTGTGTGTGTGTGTGTGTGTGTGTTTGTGTCTGACTGTGTGTGTGTGTGTGTGTATGTGTCTGACTGTGTGTGTGTATGTGTGTGTGACTGTGTTTGTGTCTGACTGTGTGTAAAGGCGTGTCTGACTGTGTATGTGTGTATGCGTGTGTGTGTGACCGTGTTTGTGTCTGACTGTGTGTGTGTGTGTGTGTGCATGTGTCTGACTGTGTGTGTGTGTATGTGTGTGTGACTGTGTTTGTGTCTGACTGTGTGTGTGTGTGTGTGTTTGTGAGTGTGTGTGTCTGACTGTGTTTGTGTCTGACTGTGTTTGTGAGTGTGCGTGTCTGACTGTGTGTGTTTGTGTCTGACTGTGTGTGTATGTGTCTGACTGTGTGTGTATGTGTGTATGTGTTCCGAATCGTGTGTGTGTATGTGTGTTCCGACTGTGTAAAAGGTGTGTGTGACTGTGTTTGTGTCTGACTGTGTGTGTGTGTGTGTTTGTGTCTGTGTGTGTGTGTTTGTGCCTGACTCTGTGTGTGTGTTTGTGTCTGATTGTGTATGTGTGTGTGACTGTGTTTGTGTCTGACTGTGTTTGTGTGTTTGTGAGTGTGTGTGTGTGTGTCTGACTGTGTGTGTGTGTCTGACTGTGTGTATGTTTGTGTCTGTGTGTGTGTCTGTGTCTGACTGTGTGTGTTTGTGTCTGACTGTGTTTGTGAGTGTGTGTGTGTCTCTGACTGTGTATGTGTGTGTGTTTGTGTATGTGTGTGTGTCTGACTGTGTGTGTGTGTATTTAGAAGGTGGGGCGGGGGGAAGGGTTGGGTGGGGGTGGCGCGGGGGGAGGGGGGGCGCCTGAGTTTTGTCCTGCCTAGGGCAGCACAAAACCAAGATACACCACTGGCTGCAAGGTGTGTTTCTGTGTATTTACGGGATGCAGTGTGTGCGTCTGTAAGGGATGCATTGAGTGTGTGTAAGGGGTGCATTGAGTGTGTGTAAGGAATGCATTGTGTGTTTCTGTGTGTGTAAGGGATGCATTGTGTGTAAGGGTTGCATTGCCTGTGTATGTGTGTCTGTGTGTGTAATACATTGTGTGTTTTTCTGTGTGCAAGGGGTGCATTGTGTGTGATTGTGTGTGTGTGATGGATGTCAATCTCTCCCCCCTCTCTTGTTACTCTCTTCTCCCCCCTCCCTTGTCACTCTCATTCCCCAGTCAATTTCTTTCTCCCCCCCCCATCAATTTATTCCCCCCCTTGTCAATTTCTTTCTCCCTCCCCTCCCCTACCTCTGTTGTAGCATGGCCGAGCTCTGTATGGTCCACGGGTACAGGGAGCTTTTGTTTCCTGTACCCGGTCGGACTAAAAGGAAGTGCACACTCAGTGTGCACTTCCTGTTAGTCCGGCTGGGTACAGGAGACAGATTTTATACAAACACGTGTCTAATAGAAGACCACCCAAGTGCAGCAAAATATATGAAACAAGGTAAAAAATTACTTCCCTTAGAAGGTCTAGGTTGTAACAAGAAGTTCCTCAGAGCTTCGAAAAAAACGAAACGCGTAGAGCTGTTTTGATTTTATTTTATTTGATTTGCCATCTTTGTATTTGCAACTTCTGATTACCATCTTACAAGGGAGACATTTACTTGATGGGCGTTTTTATCTACAACTTGTGTAAGTGCTTCCAATAAAATGTAATTCTTTTTTACCATACAATCCTATACTATGTTCGGTTTTTCTTCATTTTGAGGCATTAATCATCTCCTCACAAGACTTCTTGACAAGACCAAGAAAATCTAGATGGGCTTGTTTTTCATCACAATTTCGTGAGTGCAATATCACCTTAGGGTACCATCTACTAAACGG